ACCAAGTTCTTATTAGTTCCCATTCAATCTAATCACTCTGTCTAATTTGATTTTTAGGCCAGCAATGTCGACCTAATTCATTTCAAAATCAGATGTTGACACTTTTAACTTATAGTAAGACACTTGAGTCACGGAAGACGTGAATTATTGAAAATATAAATTGGATGCTTTTGGTCAATTGGCATAAATGGGATGTTTTAATTCTCTTATGGTATTATATCAGCCGCAGTATCTACACGACCAACAACCACTTGCACTTTGATGTCACTCAACAACATATGTTGTCCGTGTATCGTGAAAACAAAATCTTGAAAGCGAAGCCTTGCATCATAATATATAATATCATGAGTTTCTGTATTTACTGACAATTAATTTTGAATTGAATATTGTAGTTTTATCATAACAAAGACAATGAAAATATATTATCGAAGACATGAATTCTCATATGGACCTAGTCGGTGTTTGATTGTGTGGTGAGGTATATAGGTATCTAATCCGAATTCATTGGAACAACACAAGCGAAGACAAGAATTCAAGCAATATTGACCGATGGTTTTTTGGTCTAGTCGACCTCAATTTGTCATGATGCTGTTAGAAATTTCAAACACAAAACGAACAATGAAATTAATGACCAAGGTGATGTCTTTTCATTTCATTATATCCCAAGACAAAATATTGGTCCTCCTCTCATGGCCATACACGATACACCCACCAAAAGAAAACAACTAGTAGCTAATACTTTTCTCTATGCACCTTTACAAAATATATTTCTCTCTCTGGCAATTGGCTGTCAGCCAAACACTACCCCCTATTATTGTTATATGATTTGTCTTCAACATTCATAATTCTAGTTTTTTTTTATTCACCTTCTTTCTTCCACTTTAGTTATCGTAAAAAAAAGTTTACCTATATATGAATGGTTTGTAAATGCACGTTTGTCATGCACTTTTGCTCAAACCCTCGGACTCTGAATCAATTTGAGTATCTTTTTCGTTGTAATGACAATGCCATATTGGATGTTGACATAGTGTTATAACCACCCCATATTACAACACGTATACAATTATTAGGACACTAGAACTCGGATACGTGTTAGAGTTTGTGTGGATCCATGTGATGCTACAAATAACACACAAAGATGAATTGCTCCTTATAATGAATATGATAGTCTAGTTTTTAAGTGGGTCCCCTCTAGTCAACGGACACTTGTAAAACAGTAGGGCAACCCAAAAGGGTTGGTCATTTGCACGCGCAGAAAGAAGTGGGTCCTTGACATGCTGGAAGAGTTAGGACCCCATATCATTTCTGTATTATTTCCTTTCTTTTTTGATGTCGTTTTTCTTTCCCACTTTTCATCCACGGAAAATTGTATGTTACATTCCACAAAGACTCACACTCATTCTTGTAAATGCCGCCCATGACCACAAGATAATGTCGATCAACGACACGCATGGCAGTACATAATATACAATATCATTTCTGTATTATTTCCTTTCTTTTTTGATGTCGTTTTTCTTTCCCACTTTTCATCCACGGAAAATTGTATGTTACATTCCACAAAGACTCACACTCATTCTTGTAAATGCCGGCCATGACCACAAGATAATGTCGATCAACGACACGCATGGCAGTACATATATAATATACGATACGACGACACATCTAGGGTTGGAGACCAACTTCCCAGAACTTTCAGTTGTCAGTAGTCTTTGAGTGTAATTGAGTTCAGGCTGGCAATTTTCAGACCACATAAAATTGTGAGATGCAATACAAAGAGAGTTGATATTTTTGCAAAATGAAGAAGACGATCAATTAGTGGTCTCTGTAAATAATATTGATTGATTTCACAGTGCAGACAAGTGTTTCATGATGAACTGCAAAGGCTGATTCTTCTCTGTACTGAACACTTACACTGAACACTTACACTAAGCATTGGCTGTGTCATGTCATGTCATGTGTGTTTATGTATAAGTCTTTGTTTTGGTTACGTAAACTCAAATTAATGTTTAATTCCATTCATTATAAGCTCAAAGATATATATTTCTATGTCAAGGATGTCCTCGTTGTAAGAAAACTGCACAAATCCTTTCTAGGGAATGATCGGAAAAATCTATGTTTTGGGCAATTCTTAAAGGATTATCCTTGTAAAAAATCATTAGCATCTGAAGTTAATTAATTAATTTGTTAGTTCACGTGGCACAGTAAAATATGATAAGTGAGTCATTACATTGCTCTTGGACCACATTGGTTATTAGCTATACGAGGAACAATTATTTGTGCACGAAAACGTCAAGAAATGAACCTTAAAGTAGTAAAGTCTAAAACTCAAGTTACAAATGGAAAAGTCAAATGATGCTATATAGAAATTAACTTGCCCTCCACGGAAGCAAATAATATATGCATGCACGACTGCATATGATACTTAATTAATCTAGGTGCAATGCATATATAGTTTATTAATTAGAAAAAAACAGTAGTCAAGCTAGACAAGGCACATTGCATGTTCTGTTGACCTAATGCGAATTAGAAGCCATGTGCTATAAAGTAGAAAGAATCAAAATGTTTGATCAAAACACACTCAAACTCAATTCAATTCAGTTCATATTCCAATGACTTGGAGCCAAAGCAAATATATTCACCTCGTGACATCGTACTTGGAGTATCAAAAACATTTCTTTTATCTTTCTTAGACACTGAAACAATACCACGAAGAAAACAACACATACATAAGGACTTGCGTTGTGTTGTTGACAGCAGAAAAAAGACACCAATAATACAGACACTGAACTATGTGCGAGAGAGATTCTTAATTGTACTCTATTATTCTGGGATTCCGTCGAGCACCAAAGACTCTATGGCTTTCGCTTGCTTAACATATGTGGCCCTGATCTGGCCCCACGTAGTAACGTACAAGCTCTGCCTGGGCGCCGCGTGTCGACATCTGATACTTGTCTCTGGGAAAAGGCTGGGCTAAGCTAGTTGATGATGAATTAAAAAGGGATGCTTGGGCACACGAGTGGTGTCTGGGGTGGAACACAACAGCGTGCGTGGCTATTGTCCCTACGGGAGGAACACAGGCCGGGGCCTATGTGCTTCTCCGTCGGACACGTCGGTTCTGATGCCATTTAGGGATCCGTAAATGTTTCTTGTTGTGTACACGGCAAACTGTTTTTTGGTTTTTTTTTTCTTAAAATTTATTTATTTCAATTTTTTACTGATCTTTTTGGTGAAAAGTTGAAACCTAAAGTTTTGAAAGGACGGCAAACAGCCAAATACAATTTATAGTTTAATCCTTGTTATGGGTCGAAATATGATGATTCATGAGTTAAAAGCAAATACAGGGACGATGATTCATCGAAAAAATAACAGACATGCATGCAGACATTGTTAAGAAAGACGATAAAAGCATAGATTTAGGCGAAGAACACGGAATCACTTTTGGATTGAGAAAAGGGTTTCTTTATACTTGGATTTTTGTTTTGTTTCATAGCATCTCTAACTCCAAAAGCCTGCTGCAGTAATAATTAAAGTATTAATGACAACAAAAATCTCCAGCCTCACAAGAATGTACATGTAATGTGAACATCTTTATAAGTTATAATTATAAAAGACCTTGTAATGTGAACATTGTTATAAATTAATAATACAAAGATATCTTCTAGATACGCATACATTGGAGACACAGACTTTTCGATATCAACTGATGTGGTAATGTTTCATAGACTACGGAAAAATGAGCTAAGATTAAAAACAAATGAAACATTATCACAACAGTTGATATTCGGAAGTTAATGTCTTTGGTATTCTAACGTAAAAAATTGTTAATATGTGATCATGATGTAATTAATACTGTTTTAAGCAGTATCAGTTAGAACGAAAATCCCCAGCCTCACAAGAACGTAATGTGAACATCCTTATAAGATATAATAATAAAAGACCATGTAATGTGAACATGGTTATAATAATACAAAGATACCCTCCAAATTCGATTTCATTAACACAACACATGCCATTACGGCAAAAAACTTTTGAATACCAACTATTGTGGTAGTGTTTTATTCATAACTGAAAATAAAGTTCAAAGTGCGCTCAAACTAAAAACAAATGAAATTGCCACAACAGTATTATTTCTTGTAAAAAATTGTTAATATGTGATGTGACCATGAGTCATCATCTCTTTCTATAATTCTCTGTGCTGCGAATCATAAGAAATCCACGAGATCCAACCACATATATTAATTAATGGTCTTTATTTAGACTAACAGCGAATAGCCCTTTTCCTCGCAAGAATCTTTTTTTATTCACATTCTTTTCATGCGCGATTTACCTGGATTTCATTGATTATGAGTACTTTCCTACACTAATTGCATTATTGGGCGCGCACACTCTCTCCAAACACAAAACAATGGGAGAAATCTGAAAACTGGTTGAGCATTCCATGGTATGTGTTTGAAAAAACTTAAAGTATTGAGAGAGCAATTGACTAAGACTACATTAAATACATGCATTAAGTTCTGGGATTATTATTTTTTTAACATGTTCAACCAAAAAAAAAAAAAAAAGAATAAAAGGAAAACGAAAAAAGAAAGTTGAGAAGAAAAGGATTTTGTGAAAACAGTTTCAAGTTCTCAAGCTAGATCATACAAAGAGAATGAATCAAATTGGGTGTAGAGGACCAAAAAAATAACCAGTTAGGTCGCTCTCTAGCTATGCAAGGAGAGCCGTGCGTCATTTTTAGGGTTTCTCTCACGTTCAGCCGTCGTTGCTCCCTTGATTTGCTAGCGATTGTCGTTGTCGTCCCCAATCGTCGCCCTGTTACCTTCTGTGTTGGCTTCGATCTCATTTTCTCCCTCAGTTATCGGTTGGTTGCTCCTCTATGTGCGTCGTTTTGGTCTAGTGGAATTTGATTCGAGGTTGGATTGTTATTCTTTTATTGGACTTCGCATTTAGGGCTTTGCCTTAGTGTCGTCCTTGGGACTATTGTTCACAGCTAGGGCCATCTACCCAAGTGTCGTCACTTCGTTCGATCGATTGCCTGGGATCTGTTGTTGGGTATCGTCTGCCTTAGTGTCGCTAACTTCCTCGTTCTGCGCGGCTCCGTCTCCGTTTCTACCCTCTCGGTTGCCTGGGGTCTGTTGTTGGGTATTGTCTGCCTTAGTGTCGCTAACTTCCTCGTTCTGCGCGGCTCCGTCTCCGTTTCTACCCTCTCGGTTGCCTGGGGTCTGTTGTTGGGTATTGTCTGCCTTAGTGTCGCTAACTTCCTCGTTCTGCGCGGCTCCGTCTCCGTTTCTACCCTCTCGGTTGCCTGGGGTCTGTTGTTGGGTATTGTCTGCCTTAGTGTCGCTAACTTCCTCGTTCTGCGCGGCTCCGTCTCCGTTTCTACCCTCTCGGTTGCCTGGGGTCTGTTGTTGGGTATTGTCTGCCTTAGTGTCGCTAACTTCCTCGTTCTGCGCGGCTCCGTCTCTGTTTCTACCCTCTCGGTTGCATGTGGCGTGTAGTTCTCGGCTCTTGTGTGGTTGTGTGGCCGTGTGGGTCTGCAGCCTTCCTGGAAGCATAGTGTGACAGTTGCGAAAGGTGCCGATGGTTCAAGCTGAGAGTTTAATGGTGGTTGGCTTCTACGAGTTCTTGGCTTAAATGGATCTAATGCTCTCTAGGATCCTTGGTGTTGGGCATGATTTTTAGTGGATAGGGCTGTTAGTGGCAATCTCTATTCCCATCTCTTCGAGTTCTTTTGTGGTGGGGATCTGGCATTCGGATGGTGTTAGAGCCTTCGGGTAACACTATGACCTCTCGGATTCTCCTGGGGGATACAGAATTTGCATGAACGACCACCACCACCCAACAATAGCACCAAACCCACCCCCACACCACCCCCCGTTGACTCTACTCAAGGAAAGAGATTTGCTGAATGTGCTTAAGGAAAGATATTTGATGATGGAGATGGGGATGAATGATCTCGAATCGGCCCTGCCTTGCTCCTTCTCCCTCACTCCCTACAAAACCCTTTGCCCCAAGATTTCTTGGAACATTTTTCCTCAAACACACAAAAACCCTAATTGTTCTAGCAACAAAAGAAAAAGATTTCATTTCTTCTTATACGACAAAAGAACAAAAGCATAAATTCATTTTTGCTTATTCCTGCAACAATATAAAAATCCCCAAAAAAATTCTCATGTTCATCTTTCTTCTTCTGATTCAAACCACACATACCTTGAAACAAAATTTCAAATTTCAATATGGAGCGAAACTTCCAAGAGGAAAAAACGCCCATACAAAAATGCTAATAAAAAAGAAAGGAAATCAAAATCAGGAGAGGCAAACATCCTAACATTCAACCCAAACAAAAAAGTCAGAAATATAATAAGATTCTTTTAGAGGATATCGGTCCTCAGGGGTGGGTATTAATGTAAGATCCTACATCGACCAACGGAGAGGGGGTTGATGTGCCTTATATGTACACACCCGCATTCATATAGCACGAGGCCTTTTGGGAGCTCACTGGGTTCGGAGTAATGAGAACTCCAAAGTTAAGCGAGTTGGGGGCTAGAGCAATCCCAAGATGGGTGACCCATTGGGAAGTTGGTAGTGAGCTCCCATAAACAAAACCGTGAGGGCCAGAGAGGGGGGGGCCCAAAGCAGACAATATCGTGCTACGGCGGAGCCGATCCGGGATGTGACAATTTGGTATCAGAGCCACTCTGCCGTATGGTGCGAGTGTACCGACGAGGACATCGGGCCCCTAAGGGAGGTGGATTGTAAGATCCTACATCGACCAACGGAGAGGGAGTTGATGTGCCTTATATGTACACACCCGCATCCATATAGCACGAGGCCTTTTGGGAGCTCACTGGCTTCGGAGTCATGGGAACTCCGAAGTTAAGCGAGTTGGGGGCTAAAGCAATCCCAGGATGGGTGACCCAATGAGAAGTTGGTAGTGAGCTCCCAGAAACAAAACCGTGAGGGCCAGAGAGGGGGGGCCCAAAGCGAACAATATCGTGCTATGGCGGAGCCGATCCGGGATGTGACAATTAAGATCCGTTAACCCACAAGTCAACTAAATTTTCCGTTTGACTTGGGGTGTGTGAGATATTTATTCAAAGTGGATGAGCGTAATCCCCTTATTTATTGTTGCTTTAATAAATAAGGAGATCTTGAGGATTTGAGCTGATGCATCAAAGACGTGTTTCATAAGAAGAGTTATGTTAGGCATATCCCTGTGAGCCTAAAAGGCCTTATCTAAGGCTTGTAAGGCACACGAATCCAAGCTGGGACGAATTTGAATTTAGCCTTGCTTAGCTGAGAGCCTTGCTGCGTCTTTCTATGTTATGAGAGCTTATGCATAGCCCGCATTCCCAATTACCATGGTAGTGGAAGCCAGCTTGTGGGCAATAATGCTTACTGCCTTCAGTTAATTCATGACAAGATGCATCTCATTTTCTTCCACCTTTAACCAGCGGCAATTTCATCTGTATGGACGTCTTTCAGTCCACATGACGTCTGGTCATTGGTGTACGAATATTTGCTTTCACACTCCTTATGATAGAAAGCATGATGTTTAGTTTTTGTTGCTCTAAACCTTGTGTATATTGGGTACTAATTTCAAAATAGCCTGTGGATCTTAAGGAAGTTGCTGGTGGAGGTATAGGAATGAGGTGTAAAGGCTAGGCTTCATGATTATAAGAAGGGTTAATTGGCGATTTGCCCCCTGAACTTGTACCTAATTTTTGATTTACCCCTATCCTTTATTTTTAGAAAATTAAGGATATGAAACTCTTTTTTTGGCCAATTTGCCCCCTGCCGTCCAAATCTAGAACATTTCATCCAATTTGCCGTTAAATATGAGGGCAAAATTGTCATTTTGTACATTAAAAATAAATAAAAAATGAAAAATGAAATAATACTCCTCTCTCTCTCTCTCTCTCTCTCTCACTCAGAATCACGGACATTGATAGAAAATGAGGTAATTTTCAAGTTCTTTCTTGCTATGAGACTTTGAAACTTCAATTTTTGTTTAATGGGTTTGGGGTTTGAGGTTTGGAGGACTAGTTCACGTAGTAGGGGAAATTTAGTTGGAAGCTTTCACCTTGGGTTGGAGTGCTCACTGAGCTTAGAGTTTTATAGCTGCCTTACAATGAACTTAAGTTGATTTTGTGAAGTTGATTTTGGGGTGGTCTGGGGGTGGATCTCAAGTGGGGATGGGTCTCTGCTGGTGGGGGGAGAGAGAGAGAGG